AGATCTCGGGTCGATTTTTAGCATCGTGGACACAAGACTTTAACCGAGCGAAGACACTTGGATGCTGGCAATAATGCGATCTTTGCAACATGACCTTGATTAATATTTCGGACATGCTAACTCGAGCGAGACGGAATTACGTGGCGATAATTAATCTTAATTATAGCTCGCGATACGAGGTACGAGCTGGCACGTCATGTCCTTTCGTTATCAGAGGGATAACGCGCCAATTATGTATGTGTAAAAACACTTGCATTTCCTCCACGATCCTTGCGACCGAATTTTCGGTTATGCAAAAATGCTTAGTAATCGGCGCTTTTTACTCTTTTTCTTTCGTGGCGAGGTAACGCGGAGGAACAGAATTAGATGGTCGTCCTTACCGCGGTGAAAAAAAAAAACGTGAACGACGAACTCATCAGACGTTAATGTTTATCACGGATTCTCCGCGGGTATTTCTCTGTACAACGCGTGTAATGATCGCGGTATTGACGATATAGTCGTGTCTTATCAAACGAAAAATAAAATAATTAGCAATTGAAATGATTTACACGCGAAAGAAATATTATCGCATATTATCTAGGGTAATGCGAGCGTTATTGTAAAATATGATATGATATTTCTTCTTCGTGAAGGAATTCACAATTTGTCTACAATAATTATCTACAAGCGCTGATAACACGCTAATTAGAGTCAAGCGGAGAGAAGGAGTTACATAATTCGCGTTCCTCTTCCGCATATCGATATCTTTTCCGCCGTGCTATGTTGGCTTAATAAAAATCCATTGAATTAAATACGATAATTGTTAGGTGGTGATATCATCATGCGCAATATACATTGCATAAATAAATTCCTTCGTTCTATCTTGATTCTCGTTACTGGATATATTTCTAAATAATTAAACAACACCCGCACCGATGTGATGAAATGCACGAATAAACAAGGAAGCTCGTTCCTAAATTCCAATGCAAATTTGACAACGGCGATAAGACTGTTAATTCGAGACTTTACCACAAGTGGCCGGATAAATATTTGAAGATGATATCGGGAACAAGAATCTTGAGAGGACTCTTTAGATAAATCACGGTTTATCCGCCGACTTTATCTATTGTAAGTATACTTCTTTTCCTCATTATTTATTATTCGACAGGGTCGGCACTAGGTGTCTGAGGTCGATAGTTCCGGTATCACATCCGCCGGAGTTTCCGCTGAAAAATGAGCCTCTTCTTAACTACAAGAAGGGCAGCCCGGAGAGAGAGGAGCTGGAGAAAGTCTTGGATAAGATGGCCAGCGAATGCGAGGAGGTGCCGTTAGTTATCGGAAACGAGGAGATCAAGACCGACCTGTGTCGATATCAAGTTATGGTATATAGAAATCTATCCTGATCGCGCTAATTACTCCTCCGCGTTATCGTTCTTTGCCGTTCAAGTAGTATTTACACGCGCGAATCGCATTTTATCTTCTTTCAATCGCGAGTGAGACGACCGCACGATTTTTCAGCCGCACAATCATAAGGAGAAGATCGCCAAGTATTACTGGGCGACACCGGAGCTCGTGAAGAAGGCGATCGACGTCGCGGTGAAGGCGCAACGGGAATGGGAGAGATCGTGGCCGATCGAGAAGCGACTAGAGATGTGGCTGAAGATAGCGGATCTGATGGCGACCAAGTACAGACAGAGCCTGAATGCAGCCATCATGCTGGGCCAGAGCAAGACCGTGATCCAGGCGGAGCTCGACAGCGCGGAGCTGATCGACTTCTTCAAGATGCACGCGTACTTCGTCAAGGACAGCCTCAAGTACCAGCCGATCTCGCCGAATCGGCATATCTTCAACTCGATGAGGCATCGCGGCATGGACGGCTTCGTCGCGGCGGTGTCGCCTTTCAACTTCACCGCCATCGGTGGCAATCTCAGTTACACGCCGGCGCTGATGGTTTGTAATGCAAACCATAACTGGTAGTCGCTTTAGGTCGAGGCCCGCGTCACGGTAAACGTAACGCCGCTAATAATCACCCGCACGTGTCGACGTGCATGCCGCGATTGCAGGGTAACGCCGTGCTCTGGAAGCCGTCCGACACCGCGTTATTATCCAACTGGTGGATCTTTAAGATATGCAGGGAGGCCGGAGTACCGCCCGGCGTGGTGAATTTCGTTCCCTGCGAAGGACCCGTGTTCGGGGACACTATCACGTCTTCGCCTTATCTCGTCGGGCTCAACTTTACTGGCTCGGTGCCGACGTTCAACCGTCTTTGGTCTCAGGTCGGCCAGAATCTCTCCAAGTACAGAAACTATCCGAAATTGATTGGCGAGTGCGGCGGCAAGAACTATCACTTCGTCCATTCGAGCGCTGATGTGGAGTCTGTCATTAATGCAACGATAAGAAGTGCGTTCGAGTTTAATGGACAAAAGTGTTCCGCTTGCAGTAGAATGTACGTTCCGGAATCTCTGTGGGGCAAGGTGAGTTCCAGCATCAACATCATTTCATTAAATTTCCTTGAGAATATGTTTATGTGACCTTTTTAAACTTTCATTCTAGATAAAAGATGGCCTCTTAGCTCTTCGTCAGAAACTTACGATCGGTGATGTCCGAGACTTCACAATCTTCACCGGTGCTGTTATAGATGCCGCTGCATTCAAACGGATTTCCGGTTACATTGAATACGCGAAAAAATCACCCAAGATGGAAATTCTTGGCGGTGGAGGCTATGATAATTCGTATGTTCCATTGGATTATTATTATTAGCGCTAGGATTTATGTTAATGCAACTAGTTCTGAAATGAATCTTTCTAGATGTGGATATTTTATTGAACCGACAATAGTACAAACCAAAGATCCGAAGGAAAAGCTCATGACGGAAGAGATATTCGGCCCAATATTAACGATATACGTTTACAAGGATTCCGACCTAAACGAGACGGTAGAGCTGGTGGAAACATCTACGCCTTTCGCCTTAACGGGCGCGATATTCGCGCAAGATGAGTAAGTAAAATTTATCGATCATATCAGTTTTATATATA